CTTGCAACTGCTGTAGCAACTGGTCTCTGAACCTGACCTTATATCGTGATACAGAGTATGAATCATTAACCACTACTCTTTGAATACGATCATTTAGCCAGTTTTCTATCCATTTACATATGGATTTTTCCAAGGTCGTAGACTTTACCTTACACATTAGCCGTGTGTGGGAAACTGTGTCAAACGCTTTTGCAAAATCCAAGTATACCAGGGTCCACTACCACCCCTCTGTCCAAGGATTTGCTCACCTCCTCATAAAAAGAAATCAGATTTGTTTGACAACTTCTGTCTTTCATGAATCCATGCTGTCTGTTGCTTAAAATATTTTTTTCCAGCAAGAACTCATCTATGTGGTCTTTTATTAAACTATCCAGTATCTTCCCAACTATAGACGTTAAACTAACAGGTCTATAATTGCTTAGTAAAGCTTTTGATCCCTTTTTAAATATTGGCACTACATTATCCTTACGCCAATCCAGTGGTACTATGCCAGTCATTAAAGAGTCCCTAAAAATTACAAACAATTACTTTGAAATGACAGAGCTCAATTCTGCTTAATGACTGCTGTCATCTCATTATCTGAACCTGTACGGTTGCTCCCTCCCCTTTGTCAGGTGCTTGACCACTTTAGTATAATAATCACACTAAGTCCTCTATGCTAGGCATCTCCTACACCACAAAAAGTCAAAGATGACATAACCAAAATCTCATCTTTCTCCTGTGCCCCAAACTCCTCGATGACTTACTTAGGCATCAATTTGTCTCTCCCTCCTTGAATCTTTTATGCGTTAACTTATTAAATGTAACTAAACAACTTCAGGACATCTGCACTGCAATGTCTTCCATTAAAGCCTAATGGACTGGGCACATAGCATTGGTGAAAATGTTCCTGTTACCACACCTCCTATATTTTTTAGGACACTACCACTGCCCACCCTCTCTCAAGGTATTTCCAGCAAGTTATCAACAACTTCATATGGACCTCCGGAAACCATGTATAAAAGCCTCACTTATGTACCTCCCTAAAATCTATGCAGGACTGAGAACTCCAGACATTAAGCTATACTATGAATCAGTTCTGCTGGACCAAGTCAAATAATGGTAGTCATCTGGAGTACCCACCCCATGGCTACAAATTGAATCCTCTTCTATGTTTACTACACCTAAGCTACTCTTCAGTGCTTTGTGGCTTAACCATCACCCACTGCTCTCATATCTAGCTATGGTGAATACAACCATCTCAGCATGGAAATCAATTCTTCAACGTTCTCAGGGCCTCCATAGTCATGCGTTACTGCAACTACCTCTTAGCTCGCTGCATCTAATACCTGTATCTCCTGATCTTCCAATACAGCCCTGGATTGAAGCTGGAATCCAATATATTGGAGATCTCTTTTTTAAACACAGCCTTCTCTCTTTTCAACAGCTCACCTCAAAGTATTCATTAAGCAACAAAGACTTTTATCTATACCTGTGCATAAGACATATTCTGTCTAACATACCTATCTTTAATACAACCATCACCAGGGACCTTCTCGCATTCTGTATTACGTTGAATAATAAAGTTAAAGGCATCTCCTACTGTACATATACAACCTGCTTATAAGTCCAAACTCTGATTTTAAATCTTCTGCTATAGATTTCTGGTAACGAATCCTAAACATCACCCTACCTTCTTCCGTTTGGTACCATGCTACACGGTCCACTGCTGTCTTCTCCAAAAATGTGACCCATTGGGAGGCAACAAAGAAGATATACTACCAATGGTATTACTCTCCAAAAATACTGGCTCAAATTTATCTGAACACCTCCTCCACATGCTGGAGGAACTGTAGCCAAGAAGGATCCATCTTTCACATTTGGTAGGACTGTCCATATCTGAATTCCTTCTGGGACTCTATATCCAGGAATAAAAATCTCTCTGGCATCGCAGATCACTCTTTTTGGACTGGGATTAAATGCCTAGCTGTCCAAACATTACCCTATAGTCACATGCATACTGATAGCAACACATCTATCTCTAGCACATGCATGGAAGAATCCCAATCCTCCTCACTGCAAATGGTTATTTCAACACTGAATGACCACTGCCCTATAGAATTCCTTTTTTGCTAAAACACACCTAACCATCTCTAAATTCTCCAAGCATTGGCACCCTTGGTGGACAAATCCTCGATGCTCAGTAATCCTTAGCCCAACTCCACAGATGCATATGCATCTATTCCATGGTCATTTGACTCCATCCGAATAAGAGCCATCTGTTAAGCTCTGACCACTCTAGGCTTGCTTTCTGGTTCCTGCCAGCGTATTCTTTAGAAATTTCCTGTTTTTTCTTCCCCTTCCTCTTTATCCTTTACACACTCCCCTCTCTTAGTCTTACATGACAACTTGTCTACTATTATTGGTAGTATGTTATAACTTGACCAACTCCCACAAGATGACTACATCCGAGAGAGATTTAGCTTGTAAGCATAAAGAGTATAAACCTACATGTTGTTGCAACCTTAAATTATATATTGTATATCCTATACCTCCCTTTAGTATTATTTATGGTGATCAACTCTAAGCATTGGAGGTATCTCTCCTTAAGATATTATTACTCTGGATTTGTATTCTCTGATCTTGTTTGTATTCTGTTACATGTATATTTTTTTTTCAATAAATACTGCAAGTCAAAAAAGAAAAAAAACCTTCTAGAAGCTATCCACCTGGCAGCGGCATTTTTGCAGAAGAAACGCCTGACACTTGTTGAGGTATTTAATGTGTTTGTAAGTGTTTAGGCACATTTACAAGCATCAGGCGCTTGGGTGTTGGTTCATTTCATTGGGCAGAATGATAATTTATTCTGGCCATTGTGATGAATTGATGCTCAGACGCTACACATGCTTAATGCTTAGCCGTGTTTAGCTTCGTCAGACATTTTTTTTGCCAGGACACTGCTGCTCCTGGATGCACTGACCCTGGGTTGTTTTTCCTGCTGGTAAATGCCACTGATACTAAAAGCTTATAAAAGTCTATGTGTGTATGGACACATAGGATAACATAGAAGGCCATTTGGAAGCAGAAAAAAAATTGCCTGATGCCCCTAAAAGTGGCTGCCAAAATGCCCTGTGTGCATGAGGCCTAATTGGGAGATTTTCACCAGGATAGAGTAAGAAATTTCACCATTAAAGTTTGTTAGTGGAACAGTAGGTGAGGGTGACAGCTGTTCTAGTGACAGCAGGCAAGGGTGATATATTTCCCATACATTTTGGAAGATTTCCTCTTGCTTCCTGTTTTGTCATTAGGACAGGAGGGGAAATCTTCCACAGGCAGAGACTGTCATCAGTAAAAACCAGAGAGATTCTTTACCAATCCCTTCTCTACAATTAAAAAGGTAATGTTTTGTTGGATGTCCCACTGTAGGTTTTGTGGGCTAGCAGGCCTCCTTATCTCTGTCTTCAGCTGGTGATGTGGTATACATGAATGTTATGCTATGCTTAGGCTTGAAGTAAAAAGAGGAAATGCATTGACTAAATAAAAATAAACCATAGCTTATTTTCCAGTAATCCAATTGTTTTCTCTTTATCAAGTAAAGATGGTTTTCACGTCCCAAAAAAAAAAAAAAAAAAAAAAGACATGGGCTGATAGCTGAAAGGCTTGTTTGCAGGAGTTTGACATTGTACCCCTGATCCACTGATCACAGGTGCACTGCTTTCCAGGCTCCTTTGGGAAAAATAATAAATGCACATTTTTTTTTCCTGCAAAAACATGTGCATTTATTATTTTTTTCCCAAAAGGTGAACATATCCTTAACCCCCCCCTCCCCCCCAAATTCCCTTGCTTTAAATCCATCTCACCAAAGAAACCTGATGACTCATAGCACTGATCCTGATGGTACCACTAGCCGATTGACAACGCAACAAGCTGTCATCAGCTTTATAAAGGGAATGGACAAGGATAGTGGTGACATCAGTGACCACATATGTCCATGGCCAATACTGGCATTTCATTGGTCAAATATGGCCAATGGGCAATTTTTTCCAGGGATGTTACTGCTACCCCTGCCCCATTGCTTAAAAATGGTTCCTGGGGAAGTTGAGGGTGGCTTCCTTAAGAACAAGTGACCATTGGAAGCCCTAAAAATGGCCTCTATAGACTTCAGTGAGATTTTCCTCTAAGTTTGGGTTTGCCACATTACTCCGAAACCCTCATTGAACTGAATCTGGGTTAATTTGTCCATCACTAACACAGAAAGTGATAATGAAGAGCTGAAGGCCTGATTTGGGGACTTCACCAAAACCTCTAGGATAAATTTCATCACAGCATCTACAGCTATTGAAGGCAGAAAAGCTTATTTTATAGCTTATTTATGGCTTATTAAAAATAAATAAATATTTGACTGGTTCAGGCCCGATCACAGTTTTGCTTTAAAAGCTTTTATTTTATAAGATGAAAGTTTTCTCAGCTGATGCTATTTCCTACCATGTCTTAAGGGAAGCAAATTATGTCTGTGCCTATTTTGTGTTATCTAAAGTGTTAACCACATGTCATCTGAATGGCAAGATTACTAGCCTTTTTACAAATGCTTTGCAAACTGTCAAAGGCTTGTTGTACAAAACTAGTCGGACTGAGCTTGTGACTTAGCACTCTTAACCTCCCTAGCGGTCTGATTATGTCCATATTTCTGTGCTCAAAGTGGTACATTTTTTGCATGCAAATATGTATTTTTTTTATTGTAGGCCTGTAATTGTTAGGAATAAATCACTGAAATCTGTCAACAGGAGTCTAGTAAACATCCCGGGTATGTTAAAATTTGAAACATGAAATCATAAATTATAATTTAATAAATAATCATAAAAAATAATAATATAATAATAAATTTAATTCAATATTATAATCAAACCAAAAACACTGAAATTTGAAATATAGCGCCAAGTTCGCACATCACTGAGCAAAGTCGCAAAATTGAAAAATCGTTTTCAGTGTCTGATGACGAATTTCCCCACGAATCATCACTCAATTTTGCAAGTGGTTCTAATTTACTATCGCTGTTCTCTAGCTGGTCTAAACCCGCTTTTGATCTAAAGGGACGCTTTTTGGACGCCATGGACATTTCTCAGTTTACAGGCAATAAGAACAGTAAAAATGCAGGCAGGGCACAGGACAAAGCACTAGGGACAAAATTTATGTGAAATGGTTTGATACAGTAATGTTTTACTATGTGGTTTTAGTGAATTTAGTGAATGTCACTTTTTGTCGTTTTCAAATTTCCCGCTATTCCATCCCCCGTACGTCCCAACGCTCGCAGGGGACAGAACCCAGAAGACAGATGCCGGCATCCGCCGGAGGACATTGCCAGGGACACTGCAGGAGGGACATCGCGGGAGCACAGGACAAGGTAAGAGAAGGACAGATCCCGGAGCAGCGCCACATGGTAAGCCTGAGTGTAGCTTGGGGTTACCGCTTGTGGTACTGAAACTCGGGAATACTGCCAGGGAGGTTAACAGTAACTGCTGGATGACGTGGACTTTGTTCATGCATTGTGTTTCACATTTGAGGCTCTATTTAGATATTTGCATTATGATATTGTGGATTTTACTGTGCCTAAACACAGTGCATGATAACACACAAAACTGGCTTGCAATACTTTTAAATTTCATGCCACTCATCCCACCTTGTCAGCTGATCACAATGCACCAGTGTTCCAGCGCACTGCTATAAACAGATGTGGAACATTGTGTTAGTGCACTGCATGGAAAAAACATGCTGCAGGCTCCTTAAATTCCACATTGGTGTGTCTTGCCAGCTAACTCAAATCGAAACGTTTGCCTTATTACAATGCATGCATGCATTAAAGAGGTGAGGTACATCACCAACAGCAGGACAGAAATAAATAAAAATAAACATGAGATGTCACTAGGATGGGTATATTCTCTAACAGAGCCCGAATAACAGGAAAACCAGCATAGATTCTAATCCTTCCCCACTCTATCCAAAAATTTAATTTTTTTTGGGAAAAAGCAAAAATGACAATGATAAAAATTGACAATGATAAAAAATGACAATGATGTGCAAAACCAGAAGTGTCAAATCAATGAATTTAGTGGTTACAATAGAGTATAAACTTGGGGAAGGTCACCAAGGCCAGATCAACTGCCAACCCCATCTGCTTCATATACTAACCACAGATATTTCTCGTGCGTTCTTCAGCTGTCATTCAAAACACACAGAAGAAAATGACATCCTAAAGGAACAGGAACACCTGTGCCACCAAGTTGGGTAATTAGAATTGATGTGTTCTGATGTGTGCCTGCAGTGTTGAGTCTTATTAGAGAAGATGGAGTATTTGTGGGAACTTCAGGAAAAGATACCACGTTCATAGCAGAAATAAGTAAGCCAGCAAAAATATTTAAATGTTCCTGTTATTAAAATAGAACAATGAAAGTTTACTTCAGTTATGTTTTTGTAATATATATTTTACAATCTCCCTTCACTTTGCAACTGAGAATACTGTATTTGTAATTGGCATGGAAGGGAAAGAGTTAATGTTTCACATTAAAAAATTGCATTATTTTACCAATGCTTGAGTGAAGAGGAAGTAATACTAAAGTTCACAATGTTTCCCCAGTTAAGCAGGCAAAGGGCACACTTGTAGAGGATACCTTTTCACACCCCCGATCAGGCAGTATACGCACTACCACCATGCTTCTTAATGAGTTGTAATTGGTTAAGAACCTTGTTTTTATCTATTTAAAGTAGGTAAGAATGGTTAGCACATGTCTCCTGTAAGGTATCATGAGGCAATGATTAAATCTTCTTCAGTCTCATACACTCACTTAGTGTGCAGTAATCCCATATGGACTTCGACAGCAAGTGTGGGAGTATACAGTTTGTACAAATACAGCATACCACATTCCACAAATGCACCTTATTTTTTGCAGTTATGGGTTACTGTTCATTATACTAAGGCATTCCTATCAGTCATGGGCCACCATTATAGAACTTAAGGCACCCAAAACAAATGTCCTGAAATGATCTTTCTTGATGGGGGAGGGAGGAGCTCCCTCTCCTGGTGTGAATAGGGACTCAGATGTAAAGGGAGAACTATGGACTCTGATGAGATGGGGGGCTCTGATGTAAAGGCAGGGATGAAGGGCTCCTGATGTGAAGGTGTGGCTCCTGATGTGAAGAGGGCTTATGATGTGTAAAAACAGGCTATAGCAGTGATCACAACTTTTCCCACCCACCACACTCACTCAGTCACCCACCCAAAGAGGCCTAGTCATAACCCATAAACAGATAAACAGTTAACCTAAATAGGTTTCATTCTTGTGTGCCTTCACTATAGTACAAAACAATATTCCAATAATATTTCCACTGGAATTGTTATCTCATTGTCAAACATTCTGCTTCCTACAGGTCTGTGAAGGTTGAAAAACTTCAGGAGTTGGGGTTTTCAGATGGAGGATTCATGGTATATATATATATATATATATATATATATATATATATATTCGCCTGTTACCCCGATTGGGTGATTCCATTAGAGAACTGCTTCCTCGCTGCTGGGATACAGCACCAAGGTATTATAGCTGGGTATCACACCCAAGATTAGGTGACACTATCTTAGGTGCAAAGCTGGAACTCGTTATTGAACAGAAATACAGGTTTTTATACACTACAGAAATAGGGGCATGTTCCACATAAACAATAAAAACAAATATTACACATTGGGATAAACATTCCACACTGATTAGGTAAGAGCTTGATCACATTATCCTAAACAGTGCAAATGGTAAACAGTACAGCTAACAGTGATCTAATTAATAGTAAGCTAATCAACAGCCAAGCACTCAGGCTCTGCCAGGGAGCTCACCCCAGACAACCCACCACCTCCAACCTTGAATACACAAAGTATATTATACATGCTGTCTTTCAGGTGTTTGCTTTCACTTGTATAATCTGTCCATCATAAGACAATATTCCACCAGTCTGAAAAAGTGGAATTCATCTATCTTCATAGATTTCTTAAGGGAGATTGTTGATATATGATTCTGTCCCAAGTTTAGGAGCTTCCCCAACCCAGCCTTCAAGAGGGTCCCATATTTCCTCTGACCATTAACCTTTACAAGGTTAATATTACACTTTTCCATCCACTCCAGAAGGGACGCTATATTTTCTTTATTCAGAGAATTAATCCAAACCTCACTCTCAGCGTTCATCATGTTTTTGTCCATCATTAGAGAATGGTCTGCTCTCTCCCATGGGCTGTAATCAGTGGGTAGAAGGCTAGCCCCTTGTCCTCTCCAAAAACCCCTGTCCTGGCTGGGTCTGTCACTATATACACTGCTCAAAAAAATTAAAGGAACACTTTGAAAACACATCAGATCTCAATAGGGAAAAATATCATGCTGGATATCTATACTGATATGGACTGGGTAATGTGTTAGGAACGTAAGGATGCCCCATCGTTTGATACAAATAAAATTATCAACCTACATAGGACTGAATTAAATGACACCCTGAAAATCAGAGTGAAAAAATGATGCAGCAGGCTAGTCCATTTTGCTGAAATTTAATTGCAGCAACTCAAAATGGTACTCAGTAGTTTCTATTGCCCCCATGTACTTGTATGCATGCCTGACAAAGTTGGGGCATGCTCCTAAAGAGACAACGGAAGGTTTCCTAGGGTATTTCCTCCCATATCTTGACCAAAGCATCACTGAGCTCCTGGACAGTCTGAGGTGCAACCTGGCAGCGTCAAAGGGACCAAAACATGATATCCCAGAGGTGTTCTATTGGATGTAGGTCAGGTGAGAGTGGGGCCATTCAATGGTATCAATTCCTTCATCCTCCAGGAACTTCCTGCATACTCTTGCCACATGAGGCCGGGTATTACCATGCACCAGGAGGAAGCCAGGACCCACTGCACCAGCGTAGGGTCTGACAATGGGTCCGATGATTTCATACCGATACCTAATGGCAGTCAGGGTGCCATTGCCTATCCTATAGAGGTCTGTGCATCCCTCCATGGATATGTCTCCCCAGACCATCACTGACCCACCACCAAAACGGTCATGCTGAATGATGTTACAGGCAGTATAACGTTCTCCATCGCAAATGCCAATCACGCTCTATGGTGCTGGGCAGTAAGCACAGGGCCCACTAGAGGATGTTTGGCCCTCAGGCCACCCTCATGAAGTCTGTTCTGATTGTTTGGTCAGAGAAATTCACACCAGTAGCCTGCTGGAGGTCATTTTGTAGGGCTCTGGCAGTGCTCATCCTGCTCCTCCTTGCACAAAGGAGCAGATACCAGTCCTGCTGGTGGGTTAAGGACCTTCTATGGCCCTGTCCAGCTATCATAGAGTAACTGCCTGTCTCCTGGAATCTCCTCCATGCTCTTGAGACTGTGCTGGGAGAATTGATGTGCCATCCTGGAGGAGTTGAACAGCCTGTGCAGCCTCTGTAGGGTCCAGGTACCGCCTCATGCTACCAGAAGTGACAATGGCCCTAGCCAAATGCAAAACTAGTGAAAAACAGTCAGAAAAGATGGGTAGGGAAAAAAATGTCAGTGGCCTCCATCTGTAAAACCATTCCTGTTTTGGGGGTTATCTCACTGTTGCCCATCTAGTGCACCTGTCGTTAATTTCATTAACACAAAAGCAGTTGAAACTGATTAACAACCCCCTCTTCTACTTAACTGACCAGATCAATATCCCAGGAGTTTAATTGACTTGATTCTATACTCTGATTTTTTGGGAGCAGTGGTGTATGTATATATATATATATATATATATATATATATATATATATAATCTAGTAGGCCTAGTGTGCTCAGAGAAAGCCACGCAGTCCTCACCGTTACATGTAATCTTGCCACCAAGGAGTGCTACATTTGTTGCAGAACTTGTTTTTGTTGCAGGTCTTTTGATTTCCCAACCATGTTCATATTTTCTTACATTACTTTGACTTTTTAGCTGTAGAGGCAAGCAGATTATTCTTATAGGTATTGTTAATATTTCCATATTGTTTATACTGTTTACCTATTGATTGAAATGAGCCTGGACACAGGAAGGGGAAAGGTACTGCACTTAGGATCTTGCACATAGTCCCACTACATTTAGAGAATGTCCCTGGAGAGGAGATCCTACGTTAATGGACACCTTTGGAAGAACAAAAGTGTGGGAAAAAAGTGTAATTAATAAAAGACTGGTAATTGTTTATTTAATCTATACTGGATTTGAAACTTTCTGTAAAACCAGTGGATAGAAAAGCAGGAAGCAGTGTAACCACTAGATACCAATAAACCATACAGCTGTTTCATTACGTATGAAATGTACACACTTTACTAATGCATAATAAATCACAGAGTATGCTAA